TTATATTTGTGGATGACAATATATATGCTCCTGAAAAATCTATTTCGGTTGAGCTCTCTGGGGAGTAAGTGTTAGTTTGCAAACAGTAACTATTACGTCTGATAATGCAAGACTCTTCGGTAAAGCGAATCTAGTTCTCTCAGTCACTGTGTGTTTATTTAAAAATAAATACGCTTTAAATTCACTTTCTTCTCTGCCGGGCGTCAACGGCTTAGGGGTAAAATATCCGACTGACGCCAATTCAGATTCATTTTGTTCCTACCTAGAGGCAATCGAACGTCTAGTCACACTGATGAGCTGTGATACAGCGAAACAGTCTGTCTGTGGATGACTATATATATATATATATATATATATATATATATATATATATATATATATGATGAACAATGATGCATTATGGTTAGTATTGTATTATTCTGACAACTTTTAGGTGCTGGGAAACGTTTATGTTTTACATTATTCTAGACGCTATTAAGTAGAATTATTTGTAGATCGGAATGCGGTTATTTCATACTATTGTATATGTGCGTTATGTGTTATGTTTCATGTGTTATGTTTTATGTATTTTGTGTTCATGTGTTATGTTTTATTTGTTGTGTAGTTTTATGTGTTATGTTTTGTTTTATGTACTATGTTTTATGTGTTATTTTTTTTCTGTGTTATGTTTTAGTGATTTTTTATTATTGATTACTTAATTATTTGTTATTAATTTTACCAATAGATATAGCATAGATTAAAACTATATTTGTCATCGTATATATATATATATATATATATATATATATATATATATATTTAAAAAATAGGTGTTCAGCCGATGACGCTACCTCAGTTTCAACCTTTCGGTACCTTCAGGCGATCTGGGCTAAATAAACTTATATTTTAAAAGCCCTGCATGTTAACTTTTTTATTTTTACTTTATTTATAGATGTATTGAGCACATTTTTTTAATGCTACTGTTTCCTGGTCTAATTCAACTCTAACCAATTACTCTTTTTGTAATTATCTATATATATATATATATATATATATATATATATATATATATAATACCCATATATATATATATATATATATATATATATATATATATATATATATATATATATATATATATATATATATGAGGGTATTTTATATCCTTTAGTTTTATTAACTGTACTGATTTTAACGTTCCAGGAATTTTGTTCTCTACCATTCATTGTCTAAAATTATTCCAGACTGAAATATTTTGTTCATGTTTTAAGCTTCTTGCAACAAAGCCACATGCAGAATTCTAGAAGTCATTAATTATGCCAGTGAAACAAGCCACACAGTACAAAACATTACAGCAGAAAATTTTGAGGTCACTTCTCGTAAGTTTTTTTTTTTAATTGTCCCAAAATGCATTTGTTTTGTAGTTGAAATAAGCGAAGATTATTGCACATGGTTTTAAAAAAAGTGAGACATGATAATTATTAGAAATTGTATTATGAGAAAAAGAAAAAATGGTAATTTATGGTTAAATTTTGCTCTCGTCAAAACATCCTCCGTTAGCCTTGATTACTGCAGAACAGATTTTTGATATTCTTTGGAAAGTTTCTCGAAGTATATAAGTTTGATAATTGATTCTTTTTCAGTAATTCAGTTCTTTTTCATTGTTTTCTCACTCTTCTGTAAAGTTCATGCCATTATAATTTTGGGGGTGACTTCAAACTTTTAAACTACAGCGTATATTATATCACAGGAGATGGTTTCTTACTTTTGAGATAATATATTTTACATGCTTGTAAAATACTAACAATAGGTAAAAATAGTTGATATTTATGCGGTCTAGTTTCGTGTAACCATTTAATGGGTTATCCTCTTCTTTTTTGTTTTTATTGAATATTCATTGGGATGCTGTCCATTAGTGCTAGATCTTCTTTGAAGAGGAAATATTATGAATTCAGTTTTACTTCATAGCATTATATGTGAGAAAGAGGAAAATGTTTCTGTGTGTGTGTGAGAGAGAAAGAGAGAGAAAGAGAGAGATAGAGAGAAAGGAGGGTTGAGAGTGAGAATAAAAAAAAGACGATCGTAGTCCTTGTACAATCTTGGCGCCAAGGTCAGTATCAGTCCGTGCGTCAGGACTCAGCAATGGCGGAAAGCGACATTCGTAATCTTTCGACTTGAGAAACTGGGCGCACTTTCAGTGAAAAACGATTCAAACAAAATGATTTCTGAGTGAAGCAAGTCCGAAAAGACAAAAGGCAAAACTCTCTTGGCATTCCGTTATGCCAATCGCCGCACTTAGTGGCTTACGTTCTAAGAACCGAATTAAAACATGCCATTCAAACAGGGCAGTTTTAAGATAAAAGCTGATTGATTTGGCATTGTTAAATAAAGCAGAAAATAGTAACTATCCATCTATCACTCTCTATATATTATTACTTAAACGTTACTTTTAGTGGTTACCCGTATTCAAGTAGACGCTCCGTTTAGTTCTTAAACAGCAGATTTATTTATTTTCGTCTACCGACCGAAATTTCAAGAAAAATTATTATCAGATAAATATGCGCGCTCCGACAGGATTCGAACCGAGAAACCGTCATTAGACCTGATGTGCATTTAGCCCTCTGTGCTACGGTGTGCGTCGATGGTCAATCAAATTGGAATAATGCTTTAAACGCAGATTTTTCTCTGACCTCTCGAAATAGACATACCTAGTCAGTTTAGTATCTTAACGTAAACAAAACAATTTCTAAAGAAAGGGATTTATTTTTTATTTATTTTCCGACAGATTTTATTACTCGTATTCGCGTAGACGTTTATTTCTTAAACAGTGTAGCTGCCGGGCTGAAAATTCGAGAAATGGTTTTAGGGAAAAATATTTGAATGCTTCTTCAAAGAGATTTTTTTCTGACCTCTCGAAATAGACATATCTGCCCAGTTTTATATCTTAACGTAAACAAAGCAATGTCTAAAGAAAGGGACGGAATTTTTATTTATTAATCACACAGATTTTATTACTTAAAGGTTATTCTTCGCGGATAATCGTATTTGAACAGACGCTCTGTTTATTTATCAAACTGTATATTTATTTTCGTCTACCGGCCTGGATATTCGAGCAATTTTATAATTTTCGACAGGATTCGAACCTGCGTTCGCCGTATGGAAAACCGTCATTAAATGTAACGCGCTTTTAAAATTGCTGAGGACGGAGAACGTGGGTGATCAAGCAGAGTTGAATAGTGTCTTGACACATTCCTAGGTGAACGCAGTTTGGAATCCTTTCGAAAAATGGGATTTTCGAATATTCAGGGTGGCAGACGAATTAAATAAATGTAAATATCTGTCTATCTAAATGAAGCGTCTACTCAAATACGAATATCCACTATATATATATATATATATATATATATATATATATATATATATATATATATATAATTTAGTATAGATGTATATATCAATAAAAAAGTATTTAGAAAAATATGGATATTTCTGAATATTCAGGGTGGCAGACGAATTAAATAAATGTAAATATCTGTCTATCTAAATGAAGCGTCTACTCAAATACGAATATCCACTATATATATATATATATATATATATATATATATATATATATATATATATAATTTAGTATAGATTTATATATCAATAAAAAGTATTTAGAAAAATATGGATGCCTGTAAAGGTTTTTTTTTTTTGTGACGCGTTTCATCCATTAAGATTTCATGGGTTTTATCGACGTTGCAATTTTGAAACGACCTGCGTCTCTAGTTTCGTGCGCATGCGTAAAGGTGGCAACGTCAACAAAAGCCCAGTCCGATGAAATTCTACCGGGTGAAACGCGTCACAATAGTCTTTCCAGTTTATATATATATATATATATATATATATATATATATATATATATATATATATATATATATATATATATATATATATATATATATATATATATATATATATATATATATATATACATTAACTGAACTGTCTTTGTATCCCACAAATGGTTTCCTCTAAAAATGTAGACGCAGGTTCAACCCTTGCCGGAAAATACATTTTATCGATTGTGCAGACTGACAGACGCAATAAAAACTTTAATTTATTTTTGTTTAAATTATTAGAAATAAATCCAATAATTCTTTGTATGTACATATATATATATATATATATATATATATATATATATATATATGCATGTATGTATATGTGCGTGTGTGTGTGTAACATCAATCAGCTAAGTGACATTTATATTTCTATTAATCCTATATATATATATATATATATGTGTGTGTGTGTGTGTGTGTGTGTGTGGAGAGGGTTAGGGTAATGAGAGATGAGTGGTTAGTGACTGTGATTTTCACGCCTCCATGCAATCATGATTTGAAAATAGAATTCAAGCGTGATGGTGAGGCAGAATCCAGAATTTTTTTCCTCTGTCCCAATTGCCTGTACCAAAAGACGTAATATCTCTAATACAGAGCCATCTTTACCTATAAATATAGCAAATTTATCAATCTCAATCTATCTACCTATCTATCCATCTATGTATCTATCTATTTAGTCTGTTCATATCTATCTATATGTTGCGGTAAACCATTCTACAATCGAATGAACTCTTCATCCTCCCATAAATCCTAACTGCGAAACTTCCTAAGGTAGAGCAGTAGAGCCCGTCTCTGACTGTGTTCGACTTCTGTCGAACTCTCTGCTTTGATAGAGAGAAACCCGGACGAGTTTTTGCCGAAGGGTAAAGTTTCGTCCGGGGAGGTAGACAGATCCCGAACTCGAGAAACCCAGATGCAGTGTAACCCGACCGTTCGAACGTACACCTCTATCTCCTTATTACTAATACTAATGCTTTGTATGTATCTGTTATTTCAATACACTTGTTCGACCTACCTTCGTCTTCCGTGTCTTTCTTTCTGGCCTCTAAATAGGCCTCAACACTATCTATCTATCTATATATATATATATATATATATCAGTCTGTTCATATCTATCTCATTCGGTTCTTATCTATGTATCTATCTATCTCAGTCTGTTTATATCTATCTATCTATCTATCTATCTATCTTGTCTGTTCATATCCATCTATCTATCTATCTATCGCAGTCTGTTCATATCTATCTATCTATCTATCTATCTATCTATCTATCTATCGCAGTCTGTTCATATCTATCTCATTCTGTTCATATCTATGTATCTATCTACCTCAGTCTGTTTATATCTATCTATCTATCTATCTATCTATCTATCTATCTATCTATCTATCTCTGTCTGTTCATTATCTATCTATCTTGTCTGTTCATATATATCTATCTATCTATCTCAGTCTGTTCATATCTATCTCATTCTGTTCATATCTATCTATCTATCTATCTATCTGGTCTGTTCATATCTATCTATATAACCCTTTTGCGGACACAAAAGAGAGAGAACTAAAACCTATAAATGAATGTGTGGCCTTTCTGCTGTCAGCCTAAAACTCTATTTGCGCGGTGTGTCACAATCTTTTTTTTTTATTATTAAACGAAAAAAAGAAGACTGCTTTGGCGATGAACAATATTGATAGTCACCTTGGGAAGACAAGTTTTCCCGATGACACTGCAGATATTTGTTCAGATCTACTTAGAAAATTAATCCTCAACCAGCGTGCGCATGCGCAGAAATAGAGGAAAAAGGCCTTTTCAAGCCAAACATGGAGACTGCGAATACAGATATGAGTCAGATAACATGAGCTCATATGATGCAGCATAGTTTCCAGCAATCAGTCACACACACACACACACACACACACACACACACACATATATATATATATATATATACATATTTGCTTTTGATAAAATACATCTATTATGTCATATATATATACATATTAGATCATGAAGAAACAGTTTATGCAAAGAATTAAACAGCAACGCCAATGTGACAAATGGCGATATCACTTCGCTAACAGAAATTACTGTGATATTAACTTACTATCAATTCCTTGAATAATAAGATACTTATATTCCAGTTGTTGTTAGATGGAAACACATACCAAGTACTTTCGACCGTTTCAAATTGTCACTTCAGGGCGCAGTTTTCTTATATATATCCTTATTATTCAAGGAATTGATAGTAACTTAATATCTCATTATGATCTGCTAGCGAAATGATTTCAGCATTAATCACAAAACATTGCTATTTAATTCTTTGTCCAAATTGTTTTTTTTATAATATAAACTAATAAACTATAAGCTGCACACACTAATATATATATATATATATATATATATATATATATATATATATATATATATATATATATATATATATTTATCGGAAACAGATACATCACAATGACAAGCATGATGAAACATTATGAATGATAATGAATATTATTCATCTATCATCATTGTCATTATTCCCAAGACGTTTTGTGGTCGATGCGCAGCTGATCATTTACCCCAGTGGTTCAAAACCATTTTCCACCCATGGCTCACTTTGAACCCAGAATTTTTCAATGGTTCATGAAATCTTTATAGTATAAAAAATCATTTCCCTTTTATGGCCCATAAGCTGTGGCCTATATATTAACTCGGTGGCTCAGTAGAAATTATAACATTTCTGTGGCTCATCTGAAATTTGCCATAGCCCATTTTGGCCATAGATTGGAAATCACTGACCTAACCAGTTCACAGCCTATATCTGGGTTGAAAGCCGGTGAGTTTTCTATGCATAGTGTGTCATGGGTAAGTAAACCTGTCGTATCTCCTCCCTGTCCACGCTAAACCACAACCGATGGCCTCCACCTTGCAGGTTTATTTTGATCATGAACACGTGACTGTTTTAATTGGATGAAGCCAATACTCTGGCTATTGACTTCAACTATAGGAAGCCAACCTTTCCAATGATGCCGTGTCGTTGCTATACTGGCTGCATATATAGCTATGGCGTCTTTTCTGTTGTCCTAGATGGCCTTTAGCCGTCCAACAACGTTCGTCCAATGTTTGATCAGTCTCACTCTTAATCTTGCTGTGCGTTTAGCCATATTCCTTAGCAGAAACACCCAGTGAAGGAATCATTTTAATCGTCGATAACCTGATCATGCTTTACAAGGTACTAGCAGACTCCATAGATTGACATGTCATAATTTATAAATACCGTTCTATAAATGAATTTGATGAATATTTTAAGTAAGTAATATTATCATTTGAATTTCTGCGATAAGTAACTTTTCTAGTATCACTTGAAGTAAATGATGTACTGTCTAAATACAGAAAAGGGGGAGGACTCAGACAAGGATGCTCTTTCTGGCCGGATTTATTTAACCAAGACAGTGAAATAACCCCCCCCACCCAAAAAGAAAAACTAAAGAAAACCTCCTAGGTAATGGTAAGCTCCTGGGTAATGATATAACTCATAAGGAAATAAACGACATCCATTGACTGACCATCTAGTGCTACTCGAGTTACGTGTCTATTCCCTCACCTGCTGTCGGACAGAAATCAAAGTGTGATATTCCTTCCACTCATTTCTAATGGTACTTCTAATATCTGGCGTTTCCTTATCTGGAATCATTTGTCACTCATTAACCGAGCAGCCAGTGCTCCTCGAGTTACGCTTTTCTTCACTCCCTGGCCATCGGGCTGGGATCAAAGTGTAGTATCTGTTCTCCTAATCTCTAATTGTAATGGTAATAATAGCCGTTTCCTTATAAGGAAATGTTTGGCATTCATTGACCGAGCATCCAGTGTTACTTTCGTTTGAAATTTATAAAATTATTCCTCTTAACCGTTGATCTCTGCGTTCCTGAACAATTTAAACCCTTTCGCCTGACCTCTTGAGTCAAAATTCGCAAATAATTGCTATGTAATTTTTCACGGTAGATACAAATGTTTCCGCACCGTTCAACCGGTGGCTGGGCATTACGTAATTTTTCTCTACCACCGTTCAACCGGTGGCTGGGCATTACGTCATTTTTCTCTACCACCGTTCAACCGGTGGCTGGGCATTACGTCATTTTTCTCTACCACCGGTAAATCGGTGGTCAGGGCTCACAGTGTTAAAACAATTTTTCAGAATGATAGATTTCTCAAGTTCAATAATTTTTATCACTCGTTCTAGTATTGATAGGGGACTTATTTCCTAAACTTTGGTTCGAAGTTGTGTGGAATGTCAACGTATTATTTTTTCTCTTCGTATTAAATGTGTTATCCATTTTAGTTATTCTGGCCTTTGGAAGTACTCGAATGATGAGGACTTTGTTATTTGGTACAGTGCTGTGTGATTATGCACAAGGTTCGGAGAAACGTACAGGTTTAAATCTGATATGAGAAAGTGTTTGATTATCAGTGGATATAATCTTAACGACCTAAGATATACGAATGACCACGTGTTGATTTATAAAACTGAGAGAAATTTTAGATAAAGGAAGCAAGTAGAAAAAAGTCTATTAATAATAATGAGACAGAATGCGTGGTCCCCTGAAAAAGGGAAAATCAGAGATGTGCGCTGCATATTGGAAACTTGAAAATCAAGGCGACACAGTAATTTAAGTATCAGGGTCGTGTCGTAACAGACGGAAAAGTGGAAAAATATACATATGAAATGGAAGATATACAGTGAGATTGAATAAGTGATCGTACAGCAAACAAATGCTTGTTATTCTCACTTATAGCGAATGAAAACCTCGAATAACAATGTTATATATGTATTTTGGGGCATAGAATCAGAATCTGCAATTTAAAATTAGAAATTCATCGATAAGCGATAGCTATGCACATTTTTATATTTCGAATATTGGAAAAAGTGTTCGTACAGTATCAATTTTTGCATCATGATACGGGAGATTTTGGTTGTACTTCAAAGTAGAAGATTTTATACTGTTCTAGAATATTCTCAGTAACTCTATTGCAGCATTCAGTTCAAAATTGGATCATTCTGCAGTCACTGTTCACTGATAACGGCTGTAACAATGGCTAGACGTAAGGAAATGAATTGCGCTCAAAGAGAGCTAATTATTAATCTATGGAACAATGGTAAAAGTTACAGAAACATCTCCCGTGACACGAACATACCTTTTTCAACAATTGGTTCATTTATTGCAAGATTTAAAAGAGAACAAAAGCAGACCCGATGCTCCCAGGAAGATTTTTTCTAGATTACGAAGAAAGTTGATGTGACACGTCCAAAATAAGCCAATGGTCATCAAACAAGACCTTCAGAATGATCTGAGTTTGTCAGGTGTTAACGTAACTAAGCAAACGATTAGTAATGAACTACGCAGAGACGGTATAAAGTCGCGCTCCCCAAGAAAGATACCACTCCTTCTGAAATGGCATAGAAATGCAAGCTTGAAATTTGTAACAGGGCATAAAGATAAGGAAAATTCTTATTGAGAAAAGAGATCTTTGGACAGTTGAGAGTAAAATTGAGTTGTTCGGTCACAATTCCCTGAATCATGTATGGAGGAAAGACGGCGGAGCATAAACACCCAAGAACACCAGATCAGCTGTCAAATTTGGTGGGGGTATTATCATGTTTTGGGGCTGCTTTTCAATGCGAGTTGTTGGCAAACTAGCAATTAGAGACGGTATAATGAATTCAGAAAAATATCAACAAATCCTAAACGAAAATTTATCGCTTCCTGTAGAGAATCTTGGTCTTCCTCCTGATTGGATCTTCCAGCAGGACAATGATCCCAAGCATACTGCTAAGAGTACGAAGAATTGGCTTGCTAATAACAACGTTAACATCTTACAATGGCCCAGTCAGTCGCTGGATTTGAATCCAATAGAGAATTAATGCCGGTGTTTTAAAAATAAGATCCGTAATAGAGGTCCAACAAACATCAAAAACCTGAAGACAATTACTCATAAAGAATGGGACAAAATACCTACTAAAGTAGGCGAATCATTAATTAAAGACTACAGGAAGAGATTGGTTGCTGTTGAACTTAATAAAGGCTTTGCTACAAAATATTAAATGGAGAAAACATGTTTTTGTTCTCCTGTACGCTCATTTTTTTTAACCGCTAAAAATTAAATAATGCTATATTTTATTAACCATGAAATATTATTTAGTTTTATATGCATACATTTTTAGTATGCAATCTGATACAGTAGATATATTCCCGTTTTGTTAATTTAATATGTTACAAATAAAAATATGAACTATTTTAATGTGTATGATCACTTATTCAACCCCCTCAGTATGTTACAGAATCTAAGTATAATAAAATAGTGTTATATACCGTACCTATGACCACTAATGGATATGTCCCAATCATCATATCATAAATACGTTGGACACTGTTCTATGTTGGGGTACTATGCTGTCTACGCTCTCTGAAATGTCAATGTGGGAAGTTTTTGCCGTGTCGGGCAGAGAGGAACCAGAATGAGGCTATGCCGAAGGGCAGAGTCTCGTCTGGAGAGGTAGACAGATACCTGATCCGGTGTATGCGGAGTCTACGGCAATTTTTGCCCGAGCCCAC